CTGTCTGCTCAAGTCTCTGTGGCTCAGAGAAGAGAGGAGGGGAAGTCACATGGAGTGGCTGGAGGACAGGAGAGACAGAGCCTGAGCACCCAGAGCCACATCCAATCACTCATGAGGTGTCTGGCTCATGTCTCTTAGACCAGCTCTGGTTGGGTGTTCTGACCTCAGAGACAAGAGAGAGCCATCTCTTCTCCAAAGGGATTCTCCAAGTGGTTCCTTGGGTTAGGGACAGAGGCCAGGGTTTAGGTAGACATCTACCTCATGGGGAAGATGAGGCACAGAGAGGGATAGGGACTTACTTCAGATCACACAGCAAGGTAGCATTGAGGCTGGGGCCATGGTGGGGGGTGAGTGGAAGTGGGGTGGGTATAGAGGACAGCCCAGGCAGGAAGGTTTCCTGTGATCAGAATAGTCAGAGAATGACGCTTGGAACCTATGAAGCACAGGACTAGATTAGCTGGCCTTCAGGGACCCCATCATATGCCTCAAACTGGGGCTAGCAGTAGTCTGCAGGTCCAGAAGCCTTGGTGAAGGCACAGCAAATTCGGCTAAGGCCCTGGCTTAGACCTTTTGGGTAGAGACTGGGGAGGAGATGGAGGACCCAGGTGGCTGAACTCAAGCCTCAGTCCTAGCCTCCCCCAACTGTGTGACCCCAGGCAAGTGTATGCCCTCTCTGGACCCAAAGGACCTCTGTGAGACCTTCACATCTTTTGCACGCCTGCCAAACACCAGTTCTCTCTTCTGTCCTCACAGACCTTAAGCCACAGCCCAGGTTGCAGGAAGCAGCAAGGGGAAGTGCTATTTTGGGCCCATTATGGCCAATGAGGAGTTCTGCCTGGCAAAGGCAAGTGAACAGGCATCCCAAGCTGGATCAGGGATAGATTGCAGGGCTGAACTGAGGAGGTGGACATAGACCAGGTATCAGGGACAAGTTGGGGCAGATCCCAGATGCCAGGGTGTGGGGATGACACAGGGCAAACGCTGAGGAAGCAGGAGGACAGGGAGCAGATAGGGGTTTTGAGCCCAGAAGGGGTTCTTTTTTCTAGAAGAAGCTGGTGTCCCTGACTTGGGGTCTCAGTAGATCCTCACAACACCTTGGGCTTGTGCTCAGAGAGTTCCAGTCACTTGCTTAAGCCACACAGTCTGGCAATGGCAGAACTGGGACTTGACCCCTTTCTGTGCGACACCAAAACCCAACCCCACTGGTATTTCAGACCCGTGTGAGGGTCTGGACCTAAATTTGGACAGAGCCTAGCTCTCAGGCCCAGCAGTCTCAGCTCAGTTCCTGCCCTGCCCCGCCCCAGGCTGAACCCCTACCCTGGCCTCCTACCCTCAGCTCCCCCTTAGACCTCTCCCTGGAGCTATGGCACTAACATATGGGGCAGCCTACCCTTAAAAGGGTAGGGCTTGGCCAGCTGGCGTTAGTCAAGTGCAGAACATTGGAAGTTTTTTTAATTTTATTTATTTTATTTTTTAAAATGATTTTATTTATTTCTAGGAGAGAGAGAGAGAGAGAGAGAGAGAGCAGGGGAGGGTCAGAGAGAGAGGGAGACACAGACTCTGAAATAGGCTCCAGGCTCTGAGCTGGCAGTCAGCACAGAGCCCGACGCAGGGCTCGAACCCATGAACCTCGAGATCATGACCTAAGCGAAAGTTGGATGCTTAACCGACTAAGCCATCCAGGCACCCCCTCATCATCCATTCTTAACTCAAAGGCATTCACTGCAGTATGGATAGTGCAGGGAAGGTGGAACAAGAAAGTAGCTGCTTAGCTTTCAGTTTCAAGGCACATTTTTACTTTATTGGAGACACAGAGCCTGAATACTGAAAACACCTGATTTTNCTCTGAAATAGGCTCCAGGCTCTGAGCTGGCAGTCAGCACAGAGCCCAACGCGGGGCTCGAACCCACGAACCGCGAGATCATGACCTAAGCGAAAGTCGGACGCTTAACCGACTAAGCCACCCAGGCGCCCCTGAAAGTTTTTTAAAAGATTTTTTTTTTTAAGTAATCTCTGTACCCAATGTGGGACTCAAATTTACAACCCAGAGACCAAGAGTCACGTGTTCCACCGACTAAGCCAGCCAGGTGCCGCTAGAGATTGAAATTTAAGTCGGAACCCCCAGCATTCCTCTTTCTATTTCCATGTTAAAATTCCAGTGCCACCAGCAGAGGGCGCCACCACTTCTGGTCCACAGCCCCAGAAACTGATATCTGCTCAGGTCGCTTGCAAACAACTGCACCCCATGCCTCTGATCCTTTGGGACAGAGTCCCCATTACAGGCAGGGCCTCAGCGGGACATCTAGCCCATGACCCTGCCTCTGGAGCACCATCACAGCTCACCCCGGCTTACTGGAGCATGTGCTGTGCCACCTAGGATGAGGTGCTGGCTTTCTCTGGGCTCACTTCCTCAGTTGCACTATAACAGGTTCAGATGAGATGGTCTCTGAGGTCCCTAAGTGCAGGGATTGTAATGATAAGATTTCGCAGGTTCATCTGAGATGCCAGGAGTTTTAAAAGCCTGTGATTGTGAGAGTCCTTTGTTCTCAACCCTGTGTCTCTCTAAGCTCTATAAAAAGCTGATCTAAATCTCTCCTGTAGCCTCCAACTCCTTCCGTCTCCTCACTAGACGCTCCCAGATTCTTGAGCAGGGTTCCATCTGCAGCTCATTGTGGTTCAGGAGTCAGAGCTGGTAGTAATTAACAATTAGGTTCCCTCATAACCTGAGGGTGCGGGTGTGGATGTGTGTGGTCTGTGGCTCCAGGAGACCCAACTCTACGGAGATGCAAACTGAGAGCCCAAACGTGCCAACCAGAGTCCCCAAGCCGCAAGAGGGACCACATCAGCCCCGCTGTTCTGGATCTTTCCTCCTGGCTCAAGTTGCTGCTGCCCACCCTTAGCACTCAGACAGGTGGGGCAGATCACCTCCTCCTACAGAGAACTAGAACAATCTTCAGGGAACAAGTTTGGCACCCAGATTTTCAGATGGGGAAACTGAGAATGGGGAGGGAGTTGACCAAAATCTCACAGAGAGCTAGCAGTAGGTGTAGACCCTATGTAGGATGTCTGATTAATAGCCCATGCTCCTTGACCAAAAAGCATATCCTCATTTAGTCTATTAAGTGGCACGTGACATGCTATCATTTGAACTCCGGAACTTGGAACTGGGGTATAGAAGTTCCCCTTACAAAGAAAACATTTGCGGGAACAGAGGGCCTTTTGGGCTGCTCTCACCGCTTCACCAGGTCCCCAGCATAGATCCTTTCTGGGCTCCCCCCACCCCCATGGGGTTTGGATTTGGGATATTAGACCTTGGGGCCACCTATGCCCTAGCCCTGAGGGGTTTCCATTGAGATAGGAGGGGGATGGGACTATGATCCTGAGATCAGTCACCTGGAGCTCTTCCCCTACAACCTGGGCATGGCCCAAGGAAATGGAAACTCTTTCCCTTCCCCCCTCCTTCTGCAGGTGTCCAGTTCTCCTCCTAGAATCTCCAGGACCCTGGGGACCTGACTTTCCCCACCCCCTCACCCCACAGCTCAGGTTCTAGGATTCAGTTTGTTTAGAAGTCTCTACCTCTCCACAATCTATCCCCAACAGACTTATTTCGCTTCCTTTACCTCTGTCAGGGGCTGTGATTATCCCTTTCCCAGCCAGGCCTCTGCCCCCAGCAGGAGGCCCTCTGTGCTGTGTGCATCTTCTTCCAGCCCTGCTGTCCTTGGAGGACCGCCTGGGATCTCCTCAATAGTACTGAGTGGGTGAAACTCTGACTGCTGAGCTGCTGCCTCCAGTCCTGGCCCACCATATTGCACAACTCCAGAGGGCACAATTCACAGAGCTGGGAATACAATGTGAATAGTGTCCTGGAGTCCCTAGTCACTGCCTTACTGGGCACCCTGATGGCTGACAATGAGAATCTACAGGGTGGGACAGCTGGTGATAGGGAAGGGAGAACAGTGTGTCATCTGCCCTGCTGGAAGGAGGGACTATCTTGTCAGAGAGGGGTGGGGTGGAGAATGGAAACTGGAAAGGCCTCTGGAGGAAGGCGCTTTGGGTTGGGCCCTGAGGCACGTGTAGGAGACCACTACGTGTACCTCCATTGTAAATTCACTTTCATCTGGACTTTCCTCAGCAAGCAAGGACTTCCAGGGGCCGATCTGGGCCTCATCAACAAAGTGAGGTCGTTCTCCCTGGTTGCCAATTTGCAGGAGAAAAACAAGACCCAAGAAGGGGCGGCTGTGGTCCTGCGGTCCTGCTTGAACTGGCAATGGTGACAGGACCCGGAGTAGCATCCAAGTCTCCAGTCTGTCTTGCATCGCGCAATCCCTTCTTTTTTGGTTTGGAGCCCAGAAGAGGCTGATCCCAGAGGCCTCTTCCCTCGCAGCCCCCTGCAGTTCCCGGGGGGCGCGAGAGGTGGCGAAACAGAGCAGCGCGGCCTGAAGGGAGAACGCGAGACCCTACGCGTCCACAAGGGGTGGGGACCCGGGGGCGCGAGCCCGGACTCTGACGTACGGGGCGGGGCCGGCGACCATGACGCGCGGAGGCGGGGCTGCGCACCTTACCGGCCCGGCCGGCGATTCATTCAAAAGGCGCGCAGCCTGCGCGGCCGCCGGTGAGCTTGCAGAGCCTGGCCTGGTCTGCCCGTCTGCCCAGGGGGTTGAGCTGCTGGGGCTGCTGCGGGGCGGCCAGGTAAGGAGGGCGCGCGGGGCCTCAGCCCGGGGTCTGCTTCCCGCGGCCGAGGCCAGAGGGGTGCGGACCCGAGTGGCGCCCCCCGCCTCCCCGAGTCTCTGAGGAAGTTGGCCCGCGCGGCGGATGCCGCAGCCTAGGTCCTGCGCCCCCCTCCCCCGCGTCCTGTCCTGGCGTCTTCCGCGCACATTTCCCCGCCCATCTCTGAGCCCTTTGCTCCGGGACCTGGGCGTCCTCTGGACGCGACTCCAGGCCGGGCCGTGCGCGGTGGCGAAGCAGCGGCGGGACTTGCAGTTTGAGGAGTCGGCGGGCCCAGCAGACGCCCCCGGCCTGGGGAACTTGGACCGAGACCAGGAACGGGTGCGGGACGGGACGGCTGCGGCTCGGGCCGCCGGAGCGGGGGGGCGCTCTGAACGGTGTCAGCCCGTGACTGTGGGTGACACGGCGCGTGAGGCGGCCCAGTCCGGGAGAACGTGTGGCCGGGACACTGGGCAGTGACGCCGGGGCCAAGCGGGAGACACAGAGGGGCTCTGTGTATCTCTGACAGGCCGAGTGAGTGCGTGTGATTGTGTGAGAGAGACCCCAGGTCCCTGCGGGTTACCCTGACCCCAGCTTACTGTGAGACCCCGGTCACTGGGGTCACTGAGAGTGTGTGTGGCCTGGAACGAGACCAGAGCAGGGCCAGAGCGTCTCCCTAATGTGAATGTGAGGTAGAGAGAAACCCCAATGATTTGGAGAACCAGCCTCCAAATCACTGGGGCCGTAGTGTGCTCATGGGCTCAAGTCGTGTGTGTGTGTGTGTGTGTGTGTGTGTGTGTGTGTGTGTGTGTCTCCAAGCCTCAGGAGAATGAGTAAGAGGCAGAAACAGGAGGGACCTCAACCACCTGCCTTACATAGAGGGAAGGCCAGGGGTTGCTTTAGAACTGTCCCTAAGAGGGTGCCTCTCAAGATCTCAGTTTAGTCAACCTGGAGGACCCTGAGTGACTTGTTCTGGCAGAGGGAGAGAGGCCAAGGCTGGGTGACATCTGCTGAGGTGACTGACTCTTCTGGCAGCAGCTGAGGGCCCCCAAGTTAGCCTCAGGCTCCACCTCCCAGACACGCTCACACACTGAGATCCCAGATGCCTGGCAAAGCTTTGTCCCCCGGAATCTGTATTCTCAAGGGGCCTGTCTTCCTCTCAGACCCTGCCCCCATTGGGCCTCAGTCTCCCTTTCTGGGCACTGAGGTGTTGGGCTGTGAATCATCACTTTGGGATCCTCTATTGTTTTTGGGTCAACTGCCTCTGTTCTCCCCTCCCTTCAGGCAGAAAGACTGCAGTGGGGGGTGGGGGCAGGCTGGCTGCTGGAGACACGGTGGCCCAGGGGCTGTGGTGACAGGGATGGAAGCACAGCTCCTCTGACCAAGCTCAGAATTGTGATCCATAGACATTGACTTCTCTGGCCCCGGTCTCCTTCATTTCCCTCTGTGGGGGGAGAAGGGGCATGGACTTGCCCCCCACGAGTGGTTTCTGATCTGGAGAGCTGGAGCAGGGCCCCTTCACCATCTGGGCTAGACCCTCTGAGGTCCCCACCCCCACAAGAGGGTCTGTTGGGTTCATGCAGGGTGGAATGGAAATTGGGCTCTCTAGACCAGGAGGGGTGAGGGGGTATCTGCTAAAGGATCTGGAAATTCTGTCCCGCTCTGAAAATGTTGGGTACATTCTGTGTTGGAGCGAGGGTAGGGGGACAGGGCCAGGTGCTATGCTGAACACTTTATGGTGTACTCTTGTCGAATCCTCACAGTGGTTCTGAGATGGGACTATTTTTCAGAGAAGGAGACCGAGGCTCAGAGAAGCAAAGTGACTTGCCCAAGGTCATGCTGAATCCGGACAGTGCCTGGACTGGAATTCAGGTCTTCTGCCTTTGAGATGCTTGGAGAGGGCCACCTACCTTTCTGATATCTGTTCATGACTTATATAGGCTTCCTTCTCTTAAACCTGGGCTGGCAAGCATGGCCTATGTGAGTTCTGAGTGTAGTGTGTATTTGTACACATGTCTGTGTGGGTGGGTAGGTTATGTGGTCTTCCTGTTCCTCCTCTTCCCTTCCCCCAGGTCTCACCCCTAGCCAGAGGTCACCAGAGAGGCCTGTCTCCTGCCTTTTAGAGCCTGCAAGTGGCTCTGGGAGCATCCACAAAGCTACAAAAAGTGTTAGGAGTCAGCAGCACAGCCCAGGCTCCGGGGGAGGGGGGGTGACGAGGATAATTGAGAGTCCCAGCTGACCTTCACCATACCTGAGAGGCTCTATTCCACTATTTAGAGTTGCTCTGGGGGTATTTTCCCAAATCTACCCACAAGCTGTGGTATGGGGTCAGGCTGGGGGTGACCTGGGGTTGCCCTGCCCTCTCAGTCCTTCAGTGTCCCCATTCTTCCCAGAGGCCCCACTAGTTCTGACCACTGTTGCCACTGGGCTGAGGGCTGGAGCTGGGGGGTCAGGGTGTCCCTTGGTCCTCTCTGGCATGACTGGGGCTGTGCTTCTTGGGGCTGATCAGAATAGCTGTCGTGGTCTCCTGGGGCTGAGCCTGAGTTATTTCTATCCCCAGCAAACAGGGAAATAGCTCTGGGCCCAGGGCAGGGGTGGAAGAGGGGAAGGGTTAGCCTCCTCTTCTCATCCTAGCCCTGGTCCAGGCCCTCCCAGCCCTACCCTGTGCCCTGCCCAAGCTAAAGCTTTCTGGGAACTTGGGCCTCCCAGAAGGACTGTGGGGCCAGGCTGGGTTTCCACATATGGCCCCAGTTGGGACTGATGTGAGTGCTGCTGGAGAGAGGTAACTGTGTCTGGCCAAGGAGGGGAGACTTTGGGGGGCAGTCAGCACTCCAGCCTGCTCACAGGATCAGCTTCATTTTACAGAGGGAGAGACTGAGGTTTGAGAAGTGCCGAGACTTACCCAAGGCGTCCAGAAACCTGGTACCCTGACCCTCACCCTCCAGACAGGTACCTATGTACCTTCTGTCCTGCCACACGTTCCTCGGCAGACTGGATGTGGCACCAGACTGGAAGCAGGCCCCAGACGTGCCTTCACAAAATCAAAGCTCCCCTCTGTCGTTCCACCCTGGCCTTGCTGTCCTGCCCCATTTCCAGTTCTTCCACACGCTGTCAGGATCGTCCTCCCTAAGGCAGCTTCCTTTTTTTTTGCCTCCATAATACAGCCCAGACTCCTGATCCGGGCGTCAACACTTTTCCTTCCAAGACCTTCTGAACTTTACATCACCTTCCTCTCTCCCTACCAGATGCCTTGGGTCAACCCTGCCTTTGCTCTAGCTGGCTTCTCTTTCTGGAACCCTCCCGGCCACTCAGGGTACAGCTTCCCCTCACCCAGGAAGCTCTCCTGGCCCAATGTTAGCCCCCTTCATTGTTGCGGTCCACCTGTCAGGTGTCCCCCCTCACCTTTGGGAATGGGTGCAGGTATGGGACACTCATGGGCACTACATACCCAGCTGGGAGGGGCAGGCCTGGTCAGCAACCTGCCCTGTCTTGCTGCCATAGCGATGCTGGCCGGGCCTCTTCCTGAGGAAGGGCAGTCACTGTAGGCTGAGGGCCTACTGTGTTCTGGGGGGCTTAGAGATGAAGACCCATGGCCATCCTCTTTGAAGGGGCAAATGTGGTGTTTGCCATAGGCCCTCGTCAGACAAGGCTCTCATTCAGGGCCAGCACATTCCCTGCTGTTTGCCAGGCCCTGGGCTCAGGTCTCAGCAGTCCTGCAGAGGATCCTGTTCCTTCCAGAGCTAGTCACTGGGGAGCCGAAACTCAGAGGGCAGAGGGGACCAGTCCTAGTCTGAGTCACACAACCATGGCGCTGGAGTCTGGCGCTCAGGCTTTTACCCAGCCCTGTCTCCAAGTGGAGGCAAGGGTTGTCTGGCATTCGTTTCCACTGAAAGATCATTCTGGCCACCTGCACTGGGAGGAAGACGTGGTGGGGCCTTCCGCACCTGGCCTGGCTGGATAAGGCCAGACTTGCTTTGTTACTTTGTTACTTTGTTATGGGGCTGGCCCTTCTGCCAGGCAGGAGGGAGGGGTGCACCAGAGGGGAAGGGGTTTTGCCTGAGATCAGACAGTAGGGGGCCCATCTGGCCCCATCCCCATTTGGGATTGAGTGTTGCTGGGACATGGACTCTGGCAGAGCTCAGTATCCATTCTTTGCAGAGGCCCTGGGTACCTGGCCTGGGCCCTTCTGCCACTGGCTGGGGCTGGGGTTGCAAGGAGGACAGGAGGGAGCCAGTGCTGCATCCCTACTGTGTGCCCAGCCCTGGAATTAGGACCCCAAGGCTCTCACATCTTTAGCCTCATGCCCTGAGGGTCAGCAGTCCCTTCTAGGTTTAGGTAGGGAAAAGAGGGCCCAGTGAGGGGAAGGGACTTGCAAGGCCCTAGTGTAACTAGGATCTTAACCCAGGTCTGTTTGCCTGGAAGGCCATCCTGGGAAAGATGAGAGCTCTATAAATAAACTGCCCAGTGGCTGTGAGCCTGTGCCCTCCCTGGCTACTTGGCACAGAGAGAGGGATTGGGGGGGGGGCCTCTGCAGCCAGTTAGAAGGGGGGTCGAGTGTGTGGGTGGAGAGAAGGAAGGAGGGGCCTAAACTTGGGTCTGCATATTGTAGTCACTGTGAGAAGGAGCAGTGAACTCTGGGAGTGGCCTGGCTCCCCTGTGTGCCCAGCTTCCTGCATGTACTTTCCTGCCTGCCTCCTTCCTTCCTTCCTTCCTTCCTTCCTTCCTTCCTTCCTTCCTTCCTTCCTTCCTTCCTCTCTCCCTCCCTCCCTCCCTCCTGGGAGATCGCAGATGGCTGAAGGGGCCAGGAGAGGGGAGGGTCCACCCAGACAGGGAGCCTGGGAAGGCTTTCTGCAGGAGGTGGCACCTGGGCTGAAGCCTGATTGTAAGAAGAGCCACTGTTCTATGAACTCTGGATCTGCCAGCCACACCAAGAGGTCAGCTGAACAAACACAACTATCCCCAATTACAGAAGAGGAAAGTGAGGCTTGGGGATGTGGGGCCAGGTCCTGACTGCTCAGCACCCTTCCACCTTCCTGACTGTGGCTCCAGCTGGCATGGGAGCAGGTGGATAGAGGCTTGGTATAGCAGCTGGGAAATGGGCACCCAGGGGTCTCCCTGGGAGGCCAAGGCTCCTCTGTCCATGCTGCTGGGATGGATGTTGGGTTCCCCAAAGCACACTTGCTTTCTCCAAAGCCACTGGATGACCTTGGCTGGATGCTGCTTAATTCTGAGCTTGGTGGCTCCTCTGGCCCTTGTGAGTTGTGGTGAGAACTGATCCTCAGGAGAGGTTTGGTCTGGTCAGCCTTGTTGACAGTGGCTCCACTTATCCCTGTAGCACCCCT